TCGTTCTCCAATATGCATGTTATGTTCCCCTTCAAAATTTTAACTCTTAATATGTAGTGGAATAATAATACTAATGCAATATGTGCTGTTTACCAAAAATCTAGGGGAAAACTACAGCTATAACAGATACTGAATATCTACTAAAAACACTTTTTAAAAACAGTTTTAATAGACTGTAATGCAGTTACAGCACTGATGATGCACACTCTGGAAAGCACACTCTGGAAAGGACACTTCCACCATCATGATATTCATCATTAAATTATGCAAGATTTAGGGGAATTTATAATTTTTGAAGACATTAAGGGGACCCAGGAAGTAAAACTCAGAAAAAAAAATCTGTATTTTATGTCCTTTACTAATTTAAAGACAGACAACTTAAATCAGTATATTTTATAGTCCAACAAAACAATTAAAACTCAGTTATGCATACAGGCGCACAACAAAACTTTTTCATTCTAAAGCCGAAATGCTGCAGAAACACTTTAGATATTAAGGGTCCCAATCCTTCAAAAATAATCAAGACTTCTTTCTTCCTGTAAGTTTCTATAACTTTGGCTTCACTTCAGCAATCAAGGTGTAAATTGTATAGATTCTGCTGCCACAGAAGGTAGCAGTCACTTGCACAATTACCTTCAGCATCAAACCTTCAGCTTGTACTTCCTGCCAAACCAGAAAGGAGATTAATTTGTGCTCATGTGAGTCAAGATGAAGTGTAATATCCAATTTATAACTGTAATTACTTCTGTAAATTTAAACTCTAACATATACTTAGCTCTAGCAACTCAAATAATCCTGTGACCTCAGTGGGAGTAATTAAGGTGCCTAATACCATTTTTAGACCATTTCAGCCACCCATACAAGAAAGTCAGTCATGAGAGAACTGTGTAAGATCTGTGTCTTCCTGGAGCAACAACTCAAACCTAACCACAGTCTGGATACCTAATCCCACCCAAAGAAACTACTCCCATACTTTACATACATTTGAGGTTTTCTCTGATTCTGTCATTCCACACTAAAACTGAACAAGATAAAAAATATCTACATATCACATAGTAGTTTGGCCTTTCCTTGAAGGTCATCATTCACATTTGAATAGAAATGTATCTTAGTTTTCAGTCATATCATAATTTTTGAAGTGTCAAATACACACATCTGCTCAGAGCTAAACACATCAGATGAACTGACCCAAGAGAATTCATTACACTACTCAGTCTTTTAAGTTCTGGTTCTACAGCCACCCATAAATAACTGTTTCATATTTCTGGGTAATTAACAGTCAGCTCTCAAACCTTTTGCAGTCTGTCAACCAGGACACAAATGCCTGCGAAATTCATAGCCCTACTTAAAAGAACTATAGATAATTCAGTTCTAAAAGGAAAAAAAAAATTCGAACAAAGAACATAGAACTAACACATTTTTAGATGAATTGCTGTTTCAGAGTAAACAAAACTTACACTGAACTTTGAGACTGCTCTTTCAGAACCTTACTGTATCACCTCCCAAGACAGAAGAGTACAACTATCACCTAGCCTATGATACTAAAAAAAAAAAGGAGACAGCTACATTAGATATGTGCCTTTGTTTTTTCACACAAAATTTATTTCATGATAGTTTAGTCTATTCAAGATAAACTGTCAGAGCCTTGAAGATTCCCAAATGCCTCCTAGGTGGTCAGACTCCCCCCCCCTTCATCACTAACAACTTACCTGGTCATCACAGGATTGTTGGTTGCCTCTGTTTACTTCCACTGCCTGTGATTCTGACCTTGACTTGGCTTTTTAACTTGGGCTCAGATCTGTCTCCTCTCTATAGAGTTGCCCAGCACTGAATGCAGTTACAATCACCAGACCTGCTCTGCTCACCCTGTTTGGGTGCTGTGGGACTGCACTGTTTGTTGGCGAGAACTTCACGAAGTGTGAATTCACACTCACAAGCTAGAACAAGTGCCTCTTAGTAAAAGAAATTAAATAAATTTCATTACTAGACTGCTTTCATTTATGATACCTAAGGTTACATCAACTGTGTTCTTCTTCACACTTCTGCTATAGCAGATTATAGCAGAATTATCACATCTTCATTTGTATGGTACATGAACGCATTTTCTTCTGCATAACTTTAATGAGATCAGAAGTTTTTTAATGTTAGAATGTTACTTATCTGTTTGTTTCATTATCTTTTATCTTCCAAACCAAAACATATCGAGGTATAGCACTGCTGGTACAGCATTAAGAGGACAATTATTTACAGATGAATACTAGGACTTCAAAAGTGTATTTGCCTTTGAGTTCAGTTCAAGTTTGTTGGTTCTTTTAAGAGTAAAAAAAAAAAATGCAGAGGTTAGGTAGTCAAAATCCCAAAGTCCCAAAATCTGCAGTGTTTTATGATCAATCCATGTAAGCTAATACTTGAAAAAAGAAATTCCATTTTACAAACTAAATTTCAGTTTTTGCAGCAGGTAAGGTAATTTTAGACTTCTGAAAGTATCAACTATCCAAAATACTGAGCAAACTAGATATTTCTGCTTTACCTTTATCTCTCCAGGGAACATTTTTATTTGAATCGACATCAGCCAAGAAGCTCTGCTTTAATCGTTTTATAAAAAGACATACGAACAGTCACAGGAAACCTCATAAGGAGATCACAGATAATTAGTAAAACCAAAATATTTAAGAAAAAGAATGATCTAACTTTAGACCTTGGCAACAACTCTTCCACGTGATGCCTTCTCCCCTCTTCTCTGCCATACTACTTTGTGATTACATTAGCACAGGAAGCATCTTCCAAAGCAAGGAAAACAACTAATCACAGCATACATAAAATTATCAAGTAAAGACAAAAATATGAGTACGTCTGAATACGGCGTTTGAACAATATGACTTAAGACTGTCAGGGTCCATCTGGAAATACCGGTTTTATGCGTAAAGTATTTTAAAACACATAGTCAGGCAAACCTTAAATGCAGACATGCATGAATACTTACCAATTTCGAAGGTGTTTTGCCAACAAGATGGCAATCAAGCTTTGGCTTACGTGTGAGACCTTTTGCCCCTTCAAGTTAAATGCATGGATAAGTAAAGGTATGCACGATTACCTTCTGTGAGCAGCAGAATGTTAGCAAAGATTTAAAGAAGTGAAAAAAGCCTCTGAGAAAGGAAAAGTGCCCAGCTTTCCTGAACCATCTTCTGCAAACAGAAGAAATCCAGAAGTGTGTCTTACAGCGAGCTTCAAGTTACAGTAAAGTTGTTATAAAGTCCTTTTATCATGATGCATTGCAGATGAGCAGCAGAGTATGGATTCTGCCCAGCAGCTGCAACAGAAGTGTTTCTCCAAGGAGAAACTGGAATAACTGAAAACTGGAATAAGCTACTGACTGCACTTTAACGAATGTCTTCAAACTGGAAGTATGGTTCAAGTAGGTCTCAGAATCACTACACAGGACCAGTTAGTCCTGCAATGCAGGGGCAACTGTCCTGCTTACAATACCCCTAAATGCTCTGGGTATCCACACACAATAAATTTTGCTAGATCTTGTTTTATTAACTATTACAAAAAATAAGGAAGGAGGAGGAAAGACGCCACGTAATTCTGTTGCTGAAGACACATTCTAGAACAAAGACACCTTTTGGCTTGGTGCCAAAAGATATTTAAAAGAACAGTGCTTACTGATAATGGTACCAGTCCAAACTATTGTTGGGAGCAAACCCAACATCAGGACTCCTGTTCATCTGGAAGGTCACCAATAAGTGAAAACACAGGTTGTAGCCTAAGGAATTCTAGCCTAATGAATACTATCGCCTATGTTTTATGACTATAAGAACTAAACTAATAATTCAGACAGACTCTAATGAACAGATGTCAGGAATGCTATGCTTCCAGCATTTACAGGCACAGAAGTATTCTTGAAATGTGACAGATCAATTTTTTAAAAGTCTGATTATTCCAGCTGACATCCTAAACTCACTGCCACATACTATGTGTGTGCCTTAAAGTGCTGGTAAAATTTCAGTGACATTACCAAAGTATGTCAAAGCTCAATATGCTAGCAGAACTGGATTTAAATAATAAAGGAAGATCGGAAGGGGAAGCATCAAGGGAGGTCAGCTCATTTTCACAGCTGAAGCCAGAACAGTGAGTGAAGAAAGAAGTCGCAGCTGTATGACAAGTCAGTAGTGCAAAACCTAAAATCTTTATAATTCATTACAACACACCATTTTGAGATGCAGGTTAGAAATCACGTCCAGCCATCGGTACCCTGATTGCTCCAGAAACAAGGCAAGGGAATAAGTAAGCTTGATAGGGGTGGGAGGAGACTAGAGAGGAAAAAGACGGTAAACTCACTAAGCTTAACTATCTGGGTCAATCAGACGAAAGAAAAAAAGACTGTAGTAGCGTTATACACACAAAAAGCTACCGTCAAAATAAAATAAAAAAATAATAATAAAAAAAAGAACCCCCCCCAGAAAACAAACAAAAAAACCCAAACCAAAACCCACAAAAAAAACCCCAAAACAAAACAAAACCAAACCCCCCAAAAAAACAAGCTTTTTTTTTTTTTCCCTTCAACATATTCTACCTGAAACGCGACTTGTTATTTTAGCTACAGAAGGAGACACGGAACCCATAACCTGAGAAAACGCTGCTTATCCTCGGCGCCCTGAGCGAGCCGCCCCCTTAGGGCCCGTTCAGGGCAGCGACCCCTGTCCGCACCCCGCCGGGGCCCTCACTCCCCCCTCCCGCGGGGTGCCCGCGGCTCGGCGCAACCCCACATCGAGGAACCCTCACGGCCGCCCGCCGCCCCGGCCTCACCTTGAAGGGGTTGTTGAGGTCCGGGTCCGCGAAGGGGTTGCTGTCGAAGTCCGACATGGCGCGGGCAGGCGGGCGCTGCGGTCCCCGGGCGGCGGCTCTGGCCCTGCGGCGGCGCCCCGACACTGCCCGGCGCGGGTGTCCGCCCCACCGCTGTCGCTCCTGCTGACCCCGCCGCTGTCACAGCCCTGCGGCCCGGGCCGAGCCCGCCCCGCCGCCGCACCGACCAGCCACGGACCGCCCAAAATGGCCGCCCCGGAAGTGAAGTTACGGGGCAGGACGGCCCTGGGAGGGGAGAAGAGAGGGAAGGACGGAGGGAGAGGAAGAGGTGGAGCAGGAGCAGCAGCAATAGCAATAACAATAACAGCTCCTGGGGCGGGCAGGAGGCAAAGCAGGAGCAGGGGTTGGTAGAGGCTATTCTTGGGGCGGGGATGGAGGAGGGCGGGAAGCGCCATTCTCGGGCTGAGGACTCACTGTGGTGTGGAGGAGCTGCAGTCGAGCGGCCGTCCAGCCTCGCCGCTCCGGCTGGGGAGCGATGGGGGGCCCTGTCCCGCGCCCTCGTTTGTCAGCGCTAGCCGGGAGCTCCCCGGCTGGCAGCTGGGATGGGCTTGCCAGCGGGAGCGGGACGGGGCTTGGCCGGGGCGGCCCGTTGGGTGCCCCGGGGCCGCTCGGTACCTGCGGACGGTGCCCAGGGCAGGGGGAGCTCGGCCTCCCTAACCCTCCGTCCTGCACCTTCTCAGTGGGCTGGGACAGCCGCTCTGCTCTGCAAAGTGAGGTGGATGTGCGAAAGCCTGCGAGTTTGAGGTTTACTTGGTGAAACATGAATTTGCTGTCATTCCCTCCTGCTGTTGGCATGGTAAATTAGCTTGCCAGGCATGTGGCTGCTCGGGTGTCTTGCACAAAGGTTCAGCAGGAGCTGGAGGTGACGTATGACTTTGAACCACGTGGAAGCATCGAAAAGGCCTCTTGGAATTACTCAACCATTTTCAACAGTTCAGAAGACTTTTTAAAAACTTACTCAGTGATACAGACACTGCAGTTTGAAGAACCTGGTCCAAATGACACAAATAAATGGGAGGAGCTCCTTTGGTTCAGAGCCATGGTTGAAATCTGAAATCCAGTATCCTTGATAGCAAACAGTCTACATTGATGCAAAATTTTCAAAACCTGAATTTCTTTATGTACTTTTTAAAGAAGTGATTTGAAATTTCATTTAAATGAAAAAAAAAAAGTTTGAGGCAGGTCAGACAAAAAGAAATTGCTATAAAACTGTCCTTTTTTGGTATGTGGGGTTTTCCCCAATGTAATAATCCAGACTCACTGTGGGGCACCCTATTCAGAGTTTTTTGAATGCTGACTATGTTAACACTTTTATGATTTTTAATAGCTCTGTGTATATAATTAATAGGATTGTGACACTGGCAGTCATTACAATGGTGGTGTCCTGTCAGTAAGTCAGGAAAAATCCTACATGTACACAAGAATTGATTTTTTCATGGATCAGTAAGGAAAGAAGTAATTACTTCAAGGCTGCTCTGATTTATGCAAAAGTTTCTCATTATGTGAAGGATATCTGATTATGTCAGATATATGATGGTATGGAAATGGGACAAATCATAAAAGCATAGCTTCTAAACAAGACGCTTTCAACTTTTTTGTTGCTATGAAGTGTAAAATACTTCAAAAAATACAAATGCAGTTGTTGTACAATCAATTAAAAAAAGTACATTACAATATTAGTCACAATCATTTGTATACCTCAGTTATGATGACAGCAAACTAAATCACATGTTTTCCAATATTCACCCATGACTCAGTGATGAGTCCAGAAGCTGTGTGCACTGGCAACTGTATATATGCTTCTCTATGAGCTGAACATGAATGAATGAATGCATGCATGAATGAATGAAGGTTTGGCTGGAAAGAATATATTTTCCTGTATGGTTTCTGGTGCTACTGTACTCCATCTGCTCTGGGACTCTACAAAGAGTAAATCATCAGCAAGCCATCCTTCCCTCCATTTCATTTCCCTGCAGACCAATTGCTTGTCTTCATCCAAGGAGTAGAGCCCTTCTTCCATTATATGGAATGCCTGTATTTTAGGAATGTGCAGGCCCATCATAAGTATCACTAGCAAGGCATCTTCATTTTTCTCCCAGACTGAACTTGTCTGCCTGTTTCCTATCTCATCAACAGCAAAGGTAGGAATAAGCACACTTACAGAGTCCAGCAATCACTGGCCAAGACAGCAAGATAACATATAAGAAGACTTACTCCTGCTGGAAGAAGACCTATTTATCCATCTAGCTGGGGACAGAACAGTAGCAATTTCCCCCCTCTTGCCTTAAGAGTCGCAACAGCTGTGGCTGAAGCCACACGCTGTCTCAAATGCTACCTTTAGGAGGATGGCTAATTTTTCATGGAAGCCAGTGCGTGGGAGCAGTGAGTAGTAAGCTACCGTTATGAGGGAAGATGTGGCAAAGCAAACACATGTTATTTGGGAGTGGGTAGAACATTCCAAGCACTGTAGAGTGAAGCCAAACAGCACTAGCAGTCTGTGCTACTTGTATATGTTCCCTAGACCAACTTGTGAGTGGGAGGAAGAGCAGAAGCTAAGGCTAGTGATAAAAGAACTGTTTCAGTCAGTGAGCGGACCTCAGTCTCACCTGTCTCCCTCTACCACTGTATTATCTCTTGATATGTTATACTGCAGATGCTTGTTTTCTGCAGCCCTCTTCTTACACCTCCCCAGCCTCTCCTCATACACGTACTCCTCAATAAGAAGTACACATGTAGACTTCAGTGGGAATTGTCTAGACAGTGACAGAATTTGTGCTATGATCCCTTCCAGGCAAATGATCCTGGCAAATAACTTTTCAATGTGTCTCTCATCCTTTCCAATTTAAAATTGTACTTAAATAGTTGAACATAAATAGCTGTCTCTGTTTTGGCTATTTATGTTTTGCAGCACTTTTTAGTCACTTGTATTTTCCTCATTATGTAATTATTAAGTTGTAATTATTAAGTTATTAAATACCAATTAACCACTGAATTGCAATTCTGGGATCTGGAAAACAATTCAAACATACACTGAGTAAAAAAAGCACTGCAGTTTCACATAGATGTCCCATCCAAAAGATAAGCTTGTTCAATGATTCTGTCAAGCATTTGCAATGGAACATAAAGTGAAGCAAAAAGTTAGTAATACACAGTCATAGTTGCTCCCTTTCTTATCCACCTTAACAGCTAAAAACCCTCAACAAGACTTTCATTATCTAGTATCTCATTTATTGTAATAACCTTTCCCTGAATAATCCATTTTTCACATCACTCATATCTTTCCAGAATGCTGTTGCAAAATTCATTTCCGTGTCAGTTTTACATGAACTCTCTCTTCTCCAATACATCCTGTATAAAGTAGGGCCTGTGTAATTTTACACTTCACATTGATATCTGGGACAACAGTACTAGCAAATTGTATAAAGATTAAAATGTTCCATGAAGTGAGTAGTACTGAACTTGTGCTGTCTGGTTAATTTTGATATTGCGATCTGCATTAGCTCCTTCTAATCTTTTGCTGTTGGTTCATGTTTGCAATCCATACTTCATAAATTTAGAGACTTCGAATTTTGTCTTTTAAAACCATAGCATTGAAATAACACAATGCAAAACAATTTCCATTTCCTTTCCATGTTGCAGATTTCCGTATGAAATTTTAAAAGGTAATTAGCTTTATCAGCTTGCTTTCTAAGAGATTTTTAATAAATGACTGCTTTTAAAAATTCCTATTACAGACAGTTATCCTTAAATATACCTATTAAAAATATAATGTTATCTAAGGTTGTATGCCATGAATAAATCCTTACTCTTGTTTCAAGACTTGTGCAATGTTTAATTTGAGCCTGAGTGAAAATATCTTTTTCCTCTATCTCTTTATATGTAAATGTGTGCAAGTATCTATGTATTATATTTATATTGGTTAACTTCATATTACCCAAAGTGGCCTGTAGTGTGCTTTTAAATTCTACATGTTGTTTTATGCTTGCAAGAGTTGGCAAGTGAATATACTGAATGTTTTGGCCTGAGCTACATTACAGGATTGAGGTCAGTAAGTTCTGTTCTATTAGTGTTTCTGAAGAAACATTTCCTCTAGGAATTCTGTGACACCACTGTCCTGATTTGTCCTGCCGCAGCATTCTTCCAGTTGTTCTATTTTGTGTATTAACTTACAATTTAACTTTTAGAAATTGTTTAATTATTTTATAGAGTTCTTCAAGATTCTGTGGATTAAGAGAGATTCATGAAAAAGAGATGCTAAAATCCAACTATACGTTTAAAGTTGAGGAATTCACTAGGTCATTTCACTGGTAATATTTTCACATTTCCAGAGAGTAAGCAATTGCTATTCCATATTTCATTAAGTTAGGTCCTCCTTCTTTGGAAATTTAATGCCAAAATATCTAAGCTTATTATCTCTACACTTTTGAAGTCATCTGTCGTCCTTTACTGTTTAAGCCAAAATGCTATATCTGTGATTTACAGTATTTTAATTCATACCTTCACTGCTGAAAAAAATCTCAACTTTCCTGTAATCCTTTCCAACTGTATTATGTATATTATATGAAGAATGTACCATCCTAAGAATATGACGTCCAGTTTCTGCTCCCAATAGCCAAATCCCTCCACCTTATTCTGTGTCCTCACTCAACTACACAAAATGGTTTTCTAATTAAAAAAAGTGGTAAGTATTAGAAATGTCCATGTCTTTTTCTTCCATAAAATGTTATTGTTTCTGGATTTTTTTACTAGTTTTTTGCTGTGAAATATAGGAGTGAAAAATATCACTTCTACCTAATAGCAAGTTCAGTTTTGTAAAAACAAAGACAAGGAATTGGTACACTAAGGATTCCTGCCCTGGGCTCTCTCTAAATTACATTATGGTGTAGTAATGTAATTTGGTGTAGTAGCTCATATTATCATTACTATTTTATATATTGGAGAAAAAATTTGTAAGGCCTAAGAATTATTTGCAAAGGACCCGAAGTCCTTGGATGGCTGATCCCCCTTTTTTGTGTTAGGTGCATGACACCAGAAACGTTAACACTCAGGAGCTGTTGCTGGAGGCAGTGGGAGATGGAAAATGCCCCCCCAAACGCTGAGCGCCTTTCAAGGATGAAACCATGGCTCCACCGGAGATCTCTATCTCTGTGTTGGTGTCAGTTGCACCCTGGCATGCAGGCAACAAGGTGGGTGGCAATGAAGTTCCTCTGGTATTTTAATGTACAAAGAGTCTGTGAGCTTCACTTAGCCCACATCTTAACATTAGTACTCTTTTACACCCCAAATAAACTCAGATATGCCAAATATACTCACATAACATGACAGTGATGGACTCGATTCTGCAATAATGGGCCTGGTGAAGGTTCCATGGTCCATAACAAAGTATGGACTGGAAAAATAAATGATTAATAATAAATAATAAAATACATCATTTAGTATTGCAATTATTTATTGGCATAATAATTATATGTAACCTATAAATTCCATAAAGAAAAGTGACATTGTAAGTACCAACAGCTACAACACCAAGGAAAATATTTTGGATTTTACTCAGTAATTTAGCAGATTACAGGACAATGCCTTAATTTATTATTTTAATTATTTCAGTGCTTTCTGATTAAAAACCCTGCAGTTTTCTTTGGTGACTCTTGCTCTCACAAACACAGCTCATGGCTTCCCTAGAGTAAAGACGAGAGCTGATGGTCTTTTGATTGCACTCCACATGGGGAACTACTTAGCTGGCTTCTCTGAGAAGCTGCCAGAAGTTTCCCCGTGTCTGATGGAACCAGTGCCACCTGGATCCGAGATGAACCTGCTGCTGGCCAA